TAGAATCTCTCAATGTCTGCGGTAACCAAGATATAACTGGTCACTCCATATATAAAATTGCTCAATCTTGCCAAAAATTACGCAACCTCGATATTGGTTTCTGTGGAAATATCACTGATAATTTCGTATATAAAACAGTAAAAGCAAGTTGTAAATTAGAACTTCTGTGTATTGGTGGATTAAAACGGTATAAGCCAATTTCCGATCGAACAATATCTGCAATAGCCCACTCATGTTCTAATCTTTACCACCTTTCTTTAAAGGGTTGTCATAATATTACTGATAATTCAGTTAATACATTGTTGCAACATATTCATAATTTAAAATTCCTAGAACTAGATCAGTGTAGATTTATTACCGATTTATCTATCTGTAATATTGCTAGCTTTTGCCCGAAGCTCGAACATCTTGACATTGGCGCTTGCGATGCTTCTGATACATCTATCTGTAATATTGTGCGTTTGTGTAAAAATTTAAAGTATCTTAATATCAGGTGTTGTTGTCTCGTTACTGATATAGCTATTAATGAAATCGCTCAACATTGTTCGAACTTGGAATTTCTTTCTATAGTAGGCACAAATGTTACTAAAAATGCGTTGAACAAACTTAATCCAAAGATTAAGATAAAGCGGGATTCAACACTTGAAATGGACCCAGAAAAAGAACTTGATGATCTACGGACATCACTTGTTTATTTAGTGCAGGATTTATGGTCAACTTATGCGAATCTCGAAGATATTATACAATACTGCGAAGACAAAATTAGAGATGATCATTATCAAAAATCAATTGTGGAATTGGAGCGGGATATGAGAGGTACAGCTGAAAGGCTCGGTTTGATGGTACGTATATATGGCCTTAAAGAGAAAATTAATTATCAGCCTACAAACCCGGAATATGACACTAATTATGCTATTACTGAGTTTGTCTCATGCGAGATAAAATACAAAGGTAAAGAACCCTTATCCTCACACATGAAATTCCAAACACCACGAAGCGAGTTCCATCAAAAATTACGTAAAAATGATTTCTTTCCCTAATATTAATTCTGGTGGAAGAAGATCAAGTAAATTAGGCATTGCTAATTAGTATATATTGGAAATAACTAATGTTTAGCTAATTAATTTAGGCGCATTTTTAAATTCGTATTTATAAAATAATTTAACATTTACAATGACCGAAGCTGATAAAACCATATCCCACATTACTAAACAGGTATCAGGTAAAAAAATCTGGATCTCTCTTCACCAATTACTGGAAATAGTGAAACCCGAGATTGGGCTAAAGATTATTGACTTAATAGCAAATCCAGATGTTTCTCGAAGAAATTGTACACCATCTAAGGCTAAAAGAAAAAAGAGATTTTTAAATGATACAGCATCTTCGTCCTCATCCTCGCCTTCATCTGGGTCTGATTCTGAATCCTCCTATAATAATGAAGATTTTACTGTAGATATGGTAAAAGTGAAGAAGCGCAATTAATCTTGATCATAGATTTGGAAAGGTCTTGCCTTCTCAGCACTAAACCCACGAGGCCTGTAATTGACTACAACGTAATTTTGCACAGGAGAAGTATGGTTATCAGATGAATGACGTAGACATTCTCCAGCAATTGTATAAGCGTGGGCTATATTCTTAGCCTCATGTACTACCACACCATAAACAGTACCCATTTTTCGTAAGTATTTGGGAATTAAATCATAATCTTTTAAGAATTTATTGAACCATTTAACTCCTGGCTTACCTGGATCACCCATTCGTCCAGATGATATAGCATGCTGAATCCAAGTGAGTAGTTCTTTGGCTCGTTCTTGATTCTTTTCCATAGATCTAAATTTTCTAGGAATATCTGGTTAACCCCGATTTTTTGCATATCCTGTTATTCCGGCATCTGTAATACGTAAAGTTGTAAGTTCAGCAGGACAAATACAAAGCATCACCATGACATCAGCAAGAGCCCAATAATTGGGCAGAGTTTTTAAGTCATACGTGTCTAACCTTTCTTTGACCGATTCTAATGTAAATTCATCTGGATAATTGATACGTTTAGTTTCAGCCTTTTTCCGATTGACACTTTGGATTTTGTTGGCATCTTCTGTAATATCTGGAAATTTCGTAGCTTCGATTATCTCAAGTGATGCATTAAGGTTCCTTAATTCTCTACGAAGACAAGTGAGACGTGATGAGCCAACATTAGCATTTTTTGCTGATAGGGCTAAGGCATAAGCTTTAGCTCTTATATCTCTAATACTAAGTTTATCCCGTAAAATCCGTTGCGCCATATCTCCGATAGTTTCTTCCTCAATTCCTTTCGAGGGTTTGTTGGAAATCACAATATTTACGTTTTTATCTGAGGTAGTTACACTGTGGCTACTTCTGTTTTTCTGGATCGAGAATAAGGCATTTACTTGATCTTCACTAAAGCCATATCTATTCTGTAAGATTCGTTTAGTTATCTCTCTAATAATCTCCTCTTCCAAATCTTTTGGGGGCGAAGCTATAGCTATTTTGCAACTGCCCTCGATAACATTTATAATCTTGGCCTTACTACCTCTTTGATTAGGTATTAATATACTTACCTGATCACTGCTAAATTTAAAACCTTCTCGAAGATGTCGTCGACCTTGATTCCGTTTTCTATTATCGGTAAGGTTTTCAAGAAATTCTGAGGTGTATTTACTGAGCTCAGATACACTCATCTCGTTGTTGAGATTGTATTTTTTAACGATTTTAGTTATAATAGCTGACATGATCTAATATTGAGTAGGTTATGAACAATTCTTTAGGTTATTTACACTATAAAAAATATTTTTTTAAATCGAAATTAATTATCCGTGGATAGCTATACCCAAAATTGAATGGGTGGTGATTATCTGCGGAGCAGTGCACTCCGTGCCTGTAATTCTATCAGAAAATGGACGCGAACAAGACACGAGTTTGATCAAAAGTTTTAATCTATATATGCCAGGTATATGATACACGTCAATGCTTTGGGTCAAATCTGTCGATTTGAAAGTTACCAATATATAGGATATAACGAAAAAAAAATTATAGCTTCGAGTTGTGGCGACTCAGGCTATATTAAGATTTATGATTCTTTTTTATTTTTTATAATGCTTGGAATAGATTCCAGTATTTTTCTATACTTATAGACCATTTCTTGTAAATATCGGGTCTATTTTCCATTATATCTATTAGTGGTATCATAGCTGGAACTGTCCAGGCGAGAAAAATTAATATGTATGGAGATTGATCTTTGGAGGTATGAAGATAAAGGCGAACCCTGATCATACACATGTATTTATGATGATAAAAAATAGGCAAAAAATATAGCGATACTTCAAGAAAATGGGTATCTATGGTAAGATTACTATATATTAAAGAGTAAATAAGGTGGGTTTTTGTAGGTAGAAATATCCAAAGGAGGGGCTTTTTTGTCTCTACAAACTAGTTAATATAAAAATTTCCAATAAAAAATATTATCGATATACTGGTTTTTGTGATGCCTTTTTTTTTTCGAATATATGAGAAAAAAAGTGATTTTAAATATGAAAGTGAATATAGAATAATAAAATGCCTTGTAATTGGTTATTAGTCGGAGATATCCATTTATGTAAAAACCCAGCAAAGGGGCAATATTGCGCTTCCCATGCATTCAAGATTCGAAAGGGTGTAATAATTCCCCAACCATGTAAAAGATGTGGACGAGGAACTAAATCGAGCCTTTAGCTTTGTGTCCCGTGTGGCCAAGGTAAGGAAAGAGCGTATAAATTTTATAAACAAAAATGTGTAAGAGAAACTCTGCGTACTTAGTTTCTGTATACGCGAAGCAAATTTACTAGAAAAGTATTATCATTTATTATTTTTTTATGCAATTCAGGTATTTGAAAAACAACCAATTAAACTTATCATTTTCATAAGTAACAATCAACTATTATCATTTTTATAACTAGTAACTCCCAATGGAAACACCCCAGAAAGTAGTCAATTTATTAACCAAAAGAGAGATTGATCACAACGGACCAACATTCCGCAGACTAATGCGCAATGGTTTCAAGTACGTAAAAGATCTAGCCAAATTTCTACAATTACCAGATATTATGGATTATTACTATCCTGAGCAAATTAGATTCATGAATGCTCTGTCCCATCCAGCTATGATACCACCGATTGATATAATGGAAAATAGACCTGATATTTACAAGAAATAGTCTATAAGTATAGAAAAATACCGGAATCTATTCCAAGCATTATAGCAAAGCTAGTGTCTTTGACACATAAAAAATAAATATAGTACCAAATGATATTAATATAGCCTGAGTCACCACAACTCGAAGCTATAAATTTTTTCGTTATATCCTATATATTGGTAACTTTCAAATCAACAGATTTGACCCAAAGCATTAACGTGTATATATATCTGGCATATATAGATTAAAACTTTTGATCGAACTCATGTTTTGTTCACGTCCATTTTCAGATAGAATTACAATAACCACGACCCATTCAATTTTTGGGTATAGCTATCCATGGATAATTAATTTTGATTTGAAAAAATATTTTTATAATGTATATAACCTAAAGAACTGTTCATAATCTACTCGACCTACTATAACATTAGATCATGTCAGCTATCGTGATTAAAATTGTTGAAAAATACAATCTCAGCCCCAAGATGAGTGTGTCCGATCTCAGTAAATATATCTTAGAATTTCTTGAAAACCTTACCGATGATAGAAAGCAGAATCAAGGTCGACAACGTCTTCGAGATGGTTTTAAATTTAGCAGTGATCAGGTAAGTATATTAATACCTAATCAGAGAAGTAGTAAGGTCAAGATTATAAATATCGTCAAGGGTAGTTGCAAAATAGCTATAGCTTCACACCCTAAAGATTTGGAAGAAGAGATTATCAGAGAGATAACTAAACAAATCTTACAGAATAGATATGAATTTAGCGGGGGACAAGTGGATGATTTATTCTCTACCCAGAAAAATGGAAGTACGTTCAAAGAGCCATTGCCTCGCAATAGAGATGTAAATATTGCAATTTCTAACAAATCCTCGAAAGGAATAGAGGAAGAAACTATCAGAGATATGGCACATCGGCTTTTACGGGATATGCTTAGCATTAGAAATGTAAGAGCTGAAGCTTATGCCTTAGCCCTATTAGCATTAAATGCTAATGCTAGTTCGTTATGTCTTTCACGGCTTCAGAGAGAATTAAGAAATATTGGTGCTTCATCCCAGATTATCGAGGCCACGAAATTTTCAGATATTACAGAAGATGCCAACAAAATTCAGAGTGTCAATCAGAAAAAAGCTGAAGCTAAACGTACCGATTATCCAAATGAATTTACATTAGAATCAGTCAAAGAAAGATTAGATGCGTATGATATTAAAACTTTACCTGATTGTCAGGCTCTT